CTGTACATATAAACCAATATTTCCACACTTAATTAAGAACCAGATTTCATTAGGGGGTGGGAAGAATGTGACATCAAGATTAGAGGAAGACATAGCAACAACCTTGCTTGCCAAAATTGAAGAGTACTTGAAGCAGTTTCTGCAGAAAATCTAAGACTATGCTGCCTTAAATATGAATTATATGTCAATATTAAGAAATAAAAAAAAAAAAGAAAAAATCCCTATCTCTGAACCAGTAGGCAACATCTTGATAGATGAAGAAAATATTAGAGTTAACAGTGATTTCATCTCACTAGGGTCCACAATCACCGCTATTGGTAACACAGTCAAGAAATAAAAAGATGTGTTGGTTTGGGGAAATTTACTGTCAAAGACCTTCCCAAAGTGCTAATGAGCAACACTGTCAATTTAAGGACTATGAGCAAGCCGTGGTCTTTTAAATTACTGTCTATGCATGTGAATCATGAAACAACATATGATCAAGAGGTAGTGATGATGAAGGAGGAAGTTCAAGCTGCTCTGAAAGAACTGTAAAACAACAAGGCCCCAGGAATTGACAGCACACCAATTGGCATATTTCAACAAACAGGTGCTGACCTGTGCACACTCACCAGGTTGTACCAAGAAATCTGGGGGACAGCTGCCTGGCCAACTTACTGGAAGAGATCCCTATTTATTCCCATTCCAAAAAAAAGGTGATCTAAGAGAGTATGGATATTATTGAACAATATCATTAATATCCCTTGCAAGCAAAATCTTGTTGAAGATAATCCAAAAATGACCGTAACATTGACAGAGCACTACCAGAAGTACAAGCTGGATTTAGAAGAGGCTGTGTCTTTAGGGACGTCATAGCCAGTGTTTGAAGGATCTTGAGCAAAAGCAGAGGGTACCAGAGGAATGTCTCTCTGTGTTTCATTGACTATGCAAATGTGTTTGACTTGTGTGGATTACAACAAGATATGGCTAACTTTGAGAAAAATGGTATTTCCAGAACACTTGATTGTACTTATGAAAAGCCTATACTTAGACCAAGAGGCAGGCATCAGGACAGAGCAAGGAAACATTGCATGGTTCTAAATCAGGAAAGGTGTATGTCATGAACGCATCCTATCTCCATGCCTTTCAATCTATATGCCAAATAGATCATTTAGGAGGCTGGACTTTATGAGGAGGAATATGGCATCAGGATCAGAGAAAAACACATCAACAGTCTGCATTATGGAGATGACACAGCCTTCCTTGCTGAAATTGAGGAAGACCTAAGGCATTTGCTGCAGAAGCAGATTTGCTGCCACCTTTAATATGTATTGAAGCTCAACATCAAGAAAACAAAGATTCTCACTACTGGTAACCATTGGCAACATCATAGTAGATGAAGAAGAGATTGAGATTGTTAACATCTTCAGCTTGCTTGGCTCCACAATAAGTATTCTTAGTACCAGCAGTGAGGAAATCAAAAGACAAATTACACTGAGAAAATCTGCTGTCAGGACTTCTCCAGAGTACTGAAGAGCAATGATGTCATTCTAGAGACTACGGTGTGCCTGACCCAAGCCATAGTCTTCACAATTACTTGCTATGTGTCAGAGAGCTGGACAATGAATAAGAATGATAGAAGAATAGATGCCTTTGAGTTATGGTGCTGGAGAAGAGTCTTGAACATAACCGTGGACTGCCAGGGGAGCAAATAGTTTTGTCATGGAGAAAGTGAAAACGGGCTGCTCTTTGAAGACAAGGATTTTGAAGCTCCATCTCATATACTATTAACATGTTGCCAGGAGGGACTACTCGCTGGAGAAGGATATCATGCTTGGAAGGGCACAAGGGAGGAAGAGCCTAGATGAGATAGATTGACTTAGTGGGGTAATGGAGGTAGGTGTGTCTGAAATAATAAAATTGGCTCAAGATAGAGCAGGACTCAGAGCTGATGTACATAGGATCACTGTGTGTCGCAAGTGACTCTGTGGACATAACAACATACATGGACAGTGAATACAGAAGAATCATCAATGCCTTTGAGTTTTGATGTTGAAGAAGAGTACTAAATATCCCCTGGACTGCTGAAAGAATAAACAAGTCTATCTTGGAATAGATACAACCAGCGTGCCCCTTAGAGACAGGAAGATCTTAATTGGGTATGTTGTCATAAGGGGCCAATCCCTGGAAAAAGATACAATGCTGGGGAAGAGAGGATCAGAGAAAAAGAGGAAGACCTTAAGATAAATGGATACAATTAGTGTAGCCATGGACTGAAGCATATAAGAGATTGTGATTATAGAGCAGGATAGACAAAGTTCAGGGCTATGTTCAAAGGGTTGCTATGAGTCATAGTCAACTTGATAGAACTTAAAACAGCAACTCTCCATGGACAGGCTGTATTCTATTTATGTAGGTTTCTTTTTGTTTCTTACAGAAATATTTTGTAATTTTCTTTGTGTAAGTCATTTGTTTCTGGTTAGATTTATTACTGTATATTTCATCTTTTGGGTGGCTGTTTTAAATGGTGTAGTTTTCCTTATTTACTCTTCCATGTTCTGTTTCTTAGTGTAGAAGAATCAAACCAATTTTTATTTATTTGTCTTGTACCCTTCCACTTTGCTGAATTGGTCAATAATTTTCATGCTGAGTCTTTGGGATTTTCTATGTATAGGATCATATCATCTGCAAATAGAGATAGTTTTACTTCCTCTTTGCCGTTTTGGATGCTTTTTGTTTCCTTTTCTTGCCTTCTTGCCCTGGTAAGGCCTTCTAATACAATATTCAAAATTGAAATAGAAGGCATCCTTCTTTAGTACCTGTTTACAAGGAGAATGCCTGTCATCTCCTCTGTTGAGGGTACGGAATTTTTATTACTGTAAAAGACTGTTGTGTTTCATCTCTTATGAATGTCTAATAAACCTCAGTGTCTTTCGTTTAAAGACAAAAAGACTGAGGCACCTGACCAAATTAATTGTATTTTTAATTGTTTCTTTTTATTGTCAAAATTAATATGACAATCAAAGAACTGATGTCTTTGAATTGTGGTCTTTGTGAACAGTATTGATTATACTGTGGGTGACCAAAAGAACAAATCTTTTCCTAAGAGGCAAAGATGATAAGGCTTTGTCTCACATATTTTGGATGTATTATCAGAAGGGGTCAGTCCCTGACAAAAAACATCATACTTGGAAAAGTAGAAGATCAGAAATGGAAAGACCATCAGTGAGATGGTTTGACACAGTCATTGCAAGGAGGAATTTATTAAGCACATTGAAGATTATGAGGACAGCAGGATTTGTTCTGTGATATTGTATCTAGGGTCACTATGAGATAAAGACTATGGCACTCAACAGATACATAGCCGTAAGTCCTTGTTTCAGAAAGGATCTGACTTTAGTATATGTTTCCTTCAATGCCTTATATTTACAGAGAGTTTTAAGTGTGAAAAGTACTTTTCATCTTAGTTGTCTTATTTCATTCTCACTTATCTCTATGAAGTATATCACTCACTCATTGCCTTTATATTCGAAGAACCAACTCATAGCTGACCCAGTGGCAAGTTTTCAGAGGCTGTAAAGTGCATGAGAGAAGATTGCACATCTTTCTTTCTTGGAAATACTAAGTATACAAGTTAACTGTTATTAATCTCATTCTATAGATAATATAACAAACCTAAACAAGTCATTTGACTTGCCTAAAGTCACATAAGGAACTAAAGGGGGAGTAAGAATAAAAACTCCATATTTATTTTTCCATCACACAAGTTTTCTCACTTTCTTACAGAAACTATAGTAGTGAAATTCTATACAACTTTTAAGTGGATTTTGTTTTGTAATCACATTTTGGGAGCCCTGGGGGCCCATTATTAAGAAGCTGGGCGCTGCAATTCCAAAGGCGTGTGGTTCGAGAGCTGCTCTATGGGAGAAGGATGGGCAGCCTCCTCCCATGTGCTTAACTGCCTCTGAAAACCTGCCAGAGGGTCAGCTATAGATTGGTTCTGACTCTAAGGTACATGACAACAACAACTCTGTTACTAAAGTTCTTGTCAGGAGAAATAAAAAAGCTAAAATCTCTTTCCCTTCAAAATCAATACATTAATTAGTAAGTACTAAAATACATAAAGGAAGTTACCAATATAGTCATATAAATAGAACATGCACTTCAGTCTCCAGAGTAGAGAGAGAGAAGAAAATACTAGTTCTGGTTCTTGAGCCTGCCAATTTGTAGTAATGGTACCTCTGTTGGTTTTAAGTGTCCTTGAGTTGATCCAACTAAGAGTTAACCTTATGTATAGAAAAACGAAGTATTACCTAGTCCTTCACCACCCTTAAAGTCATTGTTGTACTTGAGATCACTGTTGCAGCTGCTGTGCCAATCATTGAAGGCTTTCCTCTTTTTTTGTTGACCCTCTACTATACAAGATGTTCTTCAGAGACTGGTCCCTTCCTGTAACCTGTGTGATGTTATCCAAAATTTGGGTGAAGGAAATCTTGCCATCCTTGCTTTTTGGGTACTTTTCTGCCAAGACAGATTTGTTCTCCTGACAGCTTATGATATATTCATTGTTCTTCATTAACATCTTAACTCAAAGGTATCAGTTCTTCTAGCTTTCCTCTTTGTTGTCCAGCTTTTGCATCATGAAGTAATTGAGAATATTTGTCAAGTTCACTATTAGTCCTCTCAGCTCTGATAATTTCATCTATAAATTAAGAATGATAAAATCTTGTTTTACTTTAAAGTACTTTGAAAACTTAAATATTACATAAATACAATGAAACAACTGAGAGGGGAAATCCTTAGTTAAGGAGAGGAGTAAAAAATCTTGTTTATCAAACTTGAGAATATTTCAGTGTCTCCAACTTCTGCTTTAAATTTTTTCAATTGATTTGAGATTAAAGCCATTAGATATTTTAGGTGGATACAAATGAAGTGACTCATTACCCCATTTTCTTCCCACTCCTTAACTCTGGGACAAGTTTTGACTTACACATATTCATCGAATCAACATTCTGTTTCAGGGATGAAAAAATCCAGTTCTTTGGAGAAGAAGAAATTTGAAAGGCTTCCATTAGTAAGTAGAACCCGAGTTCCACTCATTACTTTGCCACCTCCTGATGAGCCGACTGACTTGGATTCTTGCTCATATGTGATCAGTTGTGACACACAAGAGTCCTCTGATTCCTCTATCTTCAGCTTGTATGAAGAGCCAGCATTACTGCCTTTTAGCTTTGAGTCTGAGAACCAAAGTGAAACTCTTTGCTTTGAAGATTCTGGAAAAGATACCCAAGAAAGTCTTTCACCTCTCAGTAATCTGTATACCCAAAGCAAATGGCTAAAATATCAGACCACATCACAAGGCAACCTGGCTACTCCAGACAGAGTGGATATGACATTTAGTGACAGCTTCTTTCCTGAGGCTGTTTCTGGGATAAATTTTATTGACTCGAGTGAAAGGCAGAGTGGTGTTACAAATAAAGGATCTTTAGACTGTGTGCATTTGCATTTGATAAAAGGCATGCTCTATCAACAGCAGGATTTTAGCAGTCACGATTCAGTTTCCAGAAAGACAGCTTTCTCTCTGAATTTAGAGCAGATTTCCAGAACTGAAGCCATTCAGAATATGTTAGGAGAGTCTGCCTGCTCTAACTGCCCTGTAACAGGAGATGCACAGGTGAGGATATGTACCAGTGTCTCTTGGTACATTTTTCTAATAATTATTGTCTGATTTCCAACAAAATTATTACCATAATATAGGGGATCAATTTTTACTCTTGGAGAAGATGCCTTCATCTTACCCAGAACTCTAGCTGCAAGTATATAATTTATTTTGTCTTAAAAAACTTTCCTGTTGGTGGCAAACATTCAATAAAATTTAAAATTTAGAAATATCTACTGCAGTGTTTAGCACATAATAACCCAAACCAAATCCACTGCCAATGAGTTGATTCCAATTCACAGCAATTCGATACGGTTCCCAAAGATGGAAACCTGTTTGGAAGCAGGCTACCACAACTTTATCCTGTGAGGATAATAGATTTGAACTGCTAACCTTTCTGTTAACAGCTAAATGCTTAGCCACTGTACCACCAGGGCTCCTTCTAGCATATAATAGGTACTTTCTAAATCATATATTCAGCACCTGTTACCACAACTATTAATACAACTATAATTGTTTTTATTCCTTATCCTCAGCTCAGTTTTGCTGATCAGATGATTTGCCTCTGGTGAAAGAGTCTCTTATGATACTTTGTTGTTGTTGTTAAGTGCCATCGAGTCGCAGGCTACTAATAGCAACCCTATGAAGGAGAGTCCTCAATGCTTGGGTGTCTCTCATCCTCTCTCCAGGTTCATAGGGTTTCCGGAGGCAAGCTATTATGGAAGTGGATGCCACTCCTCCTTCCAAGCTTGTTTTAATCGGCGAGCTCCACTTCACTCTCTGTCTGCATTGGGTAACCAGCCATTTGGGTTATTTTTACTATAAGTATCACTAGAAATAGAGAAACATAATTATCTAGTCACATCAATTTTTTTAAAGCAAAAAAAATTTCAAATTTTTCTAAGGAGGAGACAGAAATAATCTCTTTAGAATGAGATGTCCTATGCATATTCATTCTTGATATACTTTGTTTCTTATTTGGAATGAAAAAAATATTTTCAAGGATGTTAGAAATGAAAACTAAAACTAATATATTTTACTATACATTTCTATAGCAAATAATTTTCTTGTTATAAACTTTTTCTGGAATTGTTATGTTGTTGTTGTTGTTGTTGTTGTTGTTGTTGTTAAGTGCCATCGAGTTGTAGATGACTCATAGTAACCCTGTGAACAAAAGACCTAAACATTTATGTAAGTAACTTTCCAAGTTCATAGTTTCTGAAGGCAAGCTATTTTGAGAGTGGATGCCACTCCTGGCTTCCAAACTTGTTTTAATCAGGGAGCTCCACCAAACACTGTCCACCATAGGTAATCATTATCACATTTGACACATCAGATGCTGGAGTTGTTATAATTACTTGAATTATTTCTTTTCAGGAGATAAATACCTTGGAACTCTCATTCCCAAGTGGGCAAAAAATAAAGTCTGCTTATCTTCCCCAGAGACAAATTCATATACCGGCTGTTTTTCAGTCTCCTGCCCATTATAAGCAGGTTTTTACATCTTGCCTCATAGGTATGACTGTGATATTTTTATTTTGATTGATTACTACTTAATGTAAACTAGTATAGCTGTTAAAAGTGACTTTTCTTATTAAAATTTCCAGTTGAGATATAACTATTTCCTAATGTTTGCTTCATAGTTGTTTTTTTAAAATAAAAATTTTATACTGGTTTACTTACAAAGTTCCTATACATTGTTTTTCACATCAGATCTTACCCATTTCTTTTATCTGCCCTTCCCTCCACCCATCGAATACTGTGACCCTTTGATTACCCTCACCCCAGCCCAGCCCCTCCTTCACCCTATCTGGGCCCACCCTCCCACCTTTGAATCCTGATAAACCTTTTACTAGTTATCTTTCAGTTTCTACAATAATGTTCTTGTACAGTATTTGTTCCATAGTTTTTAAAAAAGAAATTATCTTTTATTGGTTTTCATACAAAAGTCATGTACATTGTGTTTAATAAAACTAATACTCCTTGAACTGTGCCGCTCATTATCCATAATAGGCTTTTGATAATAACTTTTAGGATAATTGTAGATGATAACTGAGTTTTAAAAATGGGAAATGCCAGTATTATCTTTTTAAAGTTACAGAGTTTTTGTTTGATGCTTTTTTCCCTTTTTTTAATAAACTGAATGTGTATTTTAAGTAGAAAATTTTAATTAAGATAAATAATTAGGATTTTGTCTATTTTGGTTTTTATTAGGTAAATTCATAGAATACAACCATCTCCTTTTTCTAGTTCTAAAACATACCTACCTCCTTAGTTTCCTAGAAAATAGTTTCCAGAAATTCTTTTCTCCCAGTTCTGTAAGCTTAAAGTCTAAGACAGAATATTGGCCTTGTTGTTTTCTTCTATAGGATTTGAGAAAGAAACTTTTCCGTGACACTCTCCTAGCTTCTGATGACTACTAGCAATCATTGGCCTTGCTTTGCTGATTACAATGCATTTGCTTCAGTGTCACATAGGTTCTTGCTCCATGTATTTGACTCCCTCTTTCTGTCTCTCCCCTCCTTTTCTAAAATACTTCTTACAAAGAATTGGAACTAGGACCCAACTTATTCTAACTTTGATTTAACTGGTAATATCTTCAAAGAAAACTTTTTCTTCAAAGTCACATTCACAAGTACAGGGATTAGGACTTCAACATATCTTTTTAGGGGTCAATTAAATTAATAAATAATCATTAAACCCAATGCCTTCAAGTCATAGTGACACTATAGCATGGAGTAAAACTGCCCCATAGTATTTCAAGGTCTAATCTTTATGGAATCATAAGTCCAATTCTTTCTCCTATGTAACAGCTGGTATATTTGAACTACAAACCTTTTAGTTAACAGCAAAGAGTCCAACAACTTCGCTAACCAGGAACACATGTATGTTTTAAGAGGGATACAGTTAAATTTATACTCTTCCCTAAACCTATACCCATTAAGCAGTCAGTCCCCATTCCTTCTCTTCTAGTGTTTGCATAGTTGGTTTTGATAATTTATTTTGTTGTATTAGAGTAAAACTTGTGTTTTTAAAATTGAATATAATGTTATAGTTGACTGTGTTAAGAGGCTATTTTCAAGTTAATAACTAAAACTTATACCAGCATGAGATGTTTATATTTCATTTTCATCTTTTTGTAGAACATCTAAATATATTGTTGTTTGTACTGTCACAAAGACTGTACAAAGCTCTTTCAAAAGTTGACATATCATTTTACACATCTTCAAAAGAAGAGAAACAAAAAAATGTGGAAAACAGCGTGCCACTCTGCCATCATCATCAGCCTGCAAAACTTGTCATGGTTAAAAAAGAAGGTCCAAATAAGGTATAATTTTCTCTCCCCTACTTCTGATCCACCAAATACTTGGATTATAAAACTATGGGTTTATTTTGTTTGTTTTCCTCCCTTCTTCCCTGTAATCTTTAGGGTTATAAAGTTTTAACTGCCTCTTACCTCATGACAAATCTAAAAAACTTTTTTTTTAAAAAAAATTTTATTTATTTATTTATTCTTTTTATGTGTGTACCATCAAATTGGATCTGACTGGTACAGGAGGCGATTGTTCCTCCTTCTTCAGCAGAGCATCTGGTGGATTTGAACCGCACACCTCTGGGTTTGCAGTGCAGTTTGCTGCCACTAGGCCACCAGAGCTCACCTAAAAAACTTTTTTAAAAAAACTTTTCTTGTGCTGTAGTTGAAAATTTATACAGCAAAAAGACAAGAATGGACAAATGTATAGAGATTAAAGTTTATTAGTGGTTACTAGGAGTGGGAGGCTGGAAAGGGAGAAATTATTGCTTGTGGAGCGCTGAATTTCTGTTTATACTAGTAGAAAAACTATATTTTATTAAAGCTAATGTGTGGTTCAAAACAAACTGGCTAACTCTGAGAAGAATGGGAATCCCAGAAAACTTGATAGTGCTTATGTGAAACCTATACTTGGACTGGGAGGTAGTTGTCAGAGCAGAACAAGGAAATACTGCATGGTTCAAAATTGGAAAGGTTACACACCAGGAATGTGTCTTATCTCCATACCTTTTCAGTCTGTTTGCAGAATAGATTATCAGGGAGGCTGGCCTATATCAGGAGAAATGGTGGCATCAGGATTGGAAGAAGACTTAGCAACAATCTGCATTATGCAGATAATACAACTTTGCTTGCTGAAACTGAGGAAAACCTGAAGTACTTGCTGTGGAAGATAAATTACAGCCTTAAATATGGAATGACACTCAACATAAAGAAAACAAAGATTCTCACCACTGGGCAGATTGGCAGCATCCTGGCAGATGGTGAGGAGATTGAGATTGTTAACAGCTTCAGTTTGCTTGGCTCTATGATCAATAGTCTTGGTGCTAGCAGCCAGGAAATTAAAAGATGAATTGCATTGGAAAAGTCTACTGTCAGAGACCTCTCCAAAGTACTGAAGAACAACTTTGTCAGTCTGGAGACTAAGCTGTGCCTCATTCAGGCCATGGTCTTTGCAGTTACTTGGTATGCATCAGAAATAAGGACAATGACTAGGAATGATAGAAGTAGAATTGATGCCTTTGAGCTGTGGTGCTGGAGAAGAGTATGGATGGCAAGAAGATCATTGATGGCTAGGAAAACAAACAGTTTCGTCTTGGAGAGGGTGAAACCAGTCTGCTCTTTGGAGGCAAGGATTATGAAGCTTCATCTGACGTACTTTGGACATGTTGCAGGGAGGGACCAATCCGTGGAGAGGGATGTCATGTTTGTTGGTAGAGGGATAGTGCAAGAGAGGAAGACCCTCGATGAGATGGATTGACTCAATGACTGGGGAAATGGAGGTAGGTGTGTCAGAGACAATAAGATTGGCACAGGATAGAGTAGGGTATAAGGCTTTTGTATGTAGGGTTGCTCTGAGTTGCAAGCAACTCGATGGCACATAACAATAACAACAATGATTGCATGTGATCTGATTACATTTGATTAAATGCTTGCTGCAGAGGGTCAAGGACTGCAGCCTTCAGTATGGATTGAGGCTCAATGTCAAGAAAACAAAGATTCTCACCACTGGAACAATTGGCAGCATCAGGATGGATGGTGAAGAGACTGAGATTGTTAACAACTTTAGTCGGCTTGGCTCCGCAGTCAACACTCTTGGCAACAGCAGCCAGGAAATAAAAAAAAAATATTGCCATGGGAAAGTCTGCTGTTAGGGACCTCTCCAAA